TATTTACCACCAAAAAGGGTGAAAAAAATAAGGTAACTTTGTAATATGCTGAAAGATTTAATTCTTGTAAAAACTGGAATATGTAAGACTTAACTCAGAGACATTTTTTTTAGAATTAGATCAGAATGACAAGTATATTTGTTTATAATCCTCTTGTATTTACTTAGAAGTAAGTTTCTTTTTCTTTTTGTCTCTAATCCTCTTGTATTTACTTAGAAGTAAGTTTCAGTGGAATAAGTAGGATTTACTTCCAAGGTAAATATGCATAGGATTTCACTATCAGTATTTTTTAAAATAAGGTTTAATTATTTGAGGGGCCTAGTGCAGCCTTGTGCAATCTTGAGTCCACCAGATGTATTGGAATATAGCTTCCAGAATTTTCAGTCTAGCCAACACATCTAAAGGACATAAGACTGGAGAAAGTTACTGTATCTTATACAAACTCTTGCCTGAGAGGGTCTGATGGAGCCTTCATCAGTCCCTCTCATATGAACTTCATTATGGCATACCACATTTAGAACACTGGAACAGATACAGTACCCCAAACAATTCTGGCAAAAAGTCCTTTAGTAAGAACTGTCCGGGGCAATGAATGATTCCAACCACATGCCAAATCACCTTACACAAACTCAAAATCCCAGACTGTTAGTCAATGTTTCTTATATTTAATTTTTCCCAACCTATAGACATATCTTATTTTCTTATAGTGGTTGCAGAAGAATGCCAGAGGCAGTTTCCATCATCAACTGTTGTTCACCCATAATAATGACTTACAATGATGCCCTGTTTATCCATCAATTCATAGCAGCTGCTGCCTGAACAACAAAGGCTGCCTAAGTATCTCAAGGCTATGCAGCAAAGGGAAACACATGTTCCTGTATTAAGATACACATGTGAAATCAGCAATGCAGCATATCAATTTCTATACTAATTTTAATGCAACAAATGTTTGCCATCTAATATAATAAAAATATTAAAAATAATGGGTGATAAACAGCTAGTGGCACTGCAATAAATGTTGGTTTGCACATTAGCAAGGCATACAAGCATACTATTTAACCTGCAAAGATTTCGGTAGATTTGTTTATGCCTTCTCTTGAACGTGATATTATATTACAATAATTTAATAAATAATCTCCCTGTTTCATAAAGGAATTATATTTGATCCAAACTGTATCTTTTTGGCTCCTTTTAATTAATGTATTGTTTCTTAAAAGGAAGCCCAAATTTTGAAATAAATATTCCTTTACTAGATTTTCTGAGTCATATTCCACTAACATGTGATTTAAATTTTAAAATGCTGTGATCAGTTTTTGCATTCAAAGAAAATTATCAAGGAAGTCCATACATATTCAATCTCAAAAGAGGAAATAAAACATAAGTTTAAATTAACTTCAAATGGAAAATCATGAACTAGATTTGAAAATATGAAATTTGAAAGAAAAATGTGCAAGCTCTCATGTGTCTTTCTCAGAATCAACTATCTAACTTTAATCTTACAAGAAATAACAGTGATTGGATCAAAGGGTACTTTTTACTGTAGGAGTACTGAAATTATGTCCAGAGAACATCAGAATCCCTCAAACGTTTCTTGGAGATTTCTTAATGAGAAGATCAGAAGTAGTATAGAGAAGTTTTCCAAGACTGCAGAAAAGAAGTTGGGACACTCTTTCCACATCAAGCAACACCAAATCTCTACAGTTCTACCATTACCTTCATAACCTGATTTTTCATCCAAGAAAATTTCCTTGGTAGATGAGGTAATAAAAACTAATTCCTAGGGCGGTGACCAAATTTGAAATATAAATAAATTAAATAAATAAATATGGGAAGAGTTTGCTTAAGATGGAAAACTACTGGCCAACAGCAAAATTTTAAAATCCCATAATATTTTGCAGGAAAACAAACTAGATGGCCAGGAAACATATTACTGTACACTGTAACCAAAAGGATTCTCAAAGACAGTGAATTGTATTTAGATGATCAAATTCTGGCTTAATAAACTAGGATAGGCACAAGATACACATCCCTACATCTCATTAGGCAGCAAAGTGTTTTTTCAGGCTCTGCAAAGTAGCTTTGTAAATTATTTTAGGGTATTGCCTGGAGCCAAGGTGAGTAGAGGATGAAACAGCAGAAAAGGTCATGCAAAAAGACTGCTACCAAATGTGTTCAATCTCGCAAGCACAAGTTTTATCTGAACGGAACAAACCTTTTCTCTGCTTTTGGAAGCAAGGAAAACACCGTTACAAATACTTATTTCCTGCCTTACCACAAATTATACCCAGTTCAGCATAACAGGACCTTACCTGTGTTCATATTGCTTACATAAGCAATGAAGTGTGCAAACCTCTAATAAAAACATTTTTCTTTCTCAACCCATCTCTGAAATAAAACATGGCCCCTTGTACACAGTTCTTTAGGTCATGGGCTCACTTTCCATTTTCCTTGATGCAGTTTGCAAAACATGTTGTAAAAAAATGTATTACGGCTATGCAGCACTTCAGATTCAAAGGTAAAAGAATATTTCAAGAGTGTGGAGGTATGCACATAGTATCTGCCTGCAACTCTTTAAAGCAAACATATCTTTTCCCAGGATTGAGCTACAGCTGCAGAGGTAGCTGCTTCAATGAGGTATAGAAAATAGTACATGAACACCCCAACACACCCTAAAGCACTTTTTGTCTTTAAATCCAAAGTGTTGCACAGCCTTAGTATGTATTGAGAAGTATCAGATTTTAACACTGGGTTTGGAGCTCCAGGAAGATTGAGCACACTGCTGCAGTGTTTGTAACAATGCACACTTGTATTAAGATTCTGCTGTCCATTAAAACCAGGCTTAACAATTGAGGATACTCGAATCACTACAATTAATGTTACATATGTCATAATACTTAAAAGTGACAATTTCCCAGTGTTTTCTGTGAAAACACCATACATAGGTAGACATGCAGATGTGGGAAATTGTGTAACAGAAATTCTACCTTTATATTCAATTAAGCTAAGTTATAAGACAGCTTTAAAAAAAGGATAGGCAATTGTTTTGCTTTTATCCACAGGATCACTTTAAAAACCTCAAAAATCTGATTTTACTAAGAGGAAAGGTAAGGAATATTGCAGCTTCTTAGTACTGTGTGATTAAATTAGTTTTATTAAATTTTCAGCCCCGACCCAATAACATCTTCTAGCATGCTCCCAATACATTGCCCCCATATCTCAATGACCTGCTTTCCCACTGTGGGAAGACTGTGCTATTACGTCTGGCTACTGGGAAAGGATAGGAAGCCTTGCCTATTCCTGCCCCAAGAAATTCTGAAATTCTCCTTTTAGTGGAGAGAAGGAGAACCTTGTGGCTTTCCCTTTTTGCCTAAGAACAGAAGTGTAAATCCAAGAGGACCCCCAAATTGCAGTGACCAGGGCTTAAGGCAGGCTGTGCAGCAAACCACCAGGAAGAATCCCAAACTCTCTCTGGAACCCAATGGCATACTTTAGTCATCTGGGCCAGAGTGACTGAATAGGTCCAACCTCTCTGCTGTGGGGGATAGCACCAAAGAACTTCAGAGCTACCAGAGAGTGATCTAACCATGACAGGGGAGTAACAAGTCTCTCCCAGTTCCAGATCACATTACCACTGCTCCAACAAGTAAACCAGATCACTGTCATGCATTGGGCCCTCAATGACCTGGGACAGGACCATGGCCTACCCCCAGTCTCCCACCATGCCTCGCCCTACCTGTCACTCCAGAGATGTCTGGCCTGCCCCTAACTCCCCAGAGATCCTCCCTTCCCCCAACTTATACTGGCCCATCCTTGGGTTAGACGGTTCCAACCATATAAAAAAACCAGAAATAGGCACACACACACCATGGGATAACTGGGTTCCTGGAGTGCTTCTACCCACACACTCAGTGCCTCCAGCAGCTCTAGACAGCATACATCACCCCAATAAATATCTACCTCTCACATGGCAAGAACAGCACTGTTCTATGTTTCATTGGAGAAGCAAGGTTGCTTTCCAGGGGGGAGGGTGACCCAAGATGGGGTTTTGCAGAAGCAGCACTGTGTGAAACGTCTTACCAATGTATTAGCTCTGCTCTCACAGAATCGAGTTGGAAGGGGTTATTATGCTTAATTGAAAGAGTTGCCCAATACCCTGCTCAATGCAAGGATTTAAATTAAAGCATCTTCAACAGCATCTGCTTGAAAATGTCCAGTGAAAGAGTATCAATTATTACTCTGGTAATTAGTTTCATTGCTAAACTGCTTATTGTTAAAGTTTTTCCTAACATTTCCAGTAACTTAAGATCATTATTCCATACTGTGCACTCTAGGACAACAGAGAACCAGTCTCTACAGTCTATACACAATCACCTCAGTCTTTCCTTATCTATATGCTACTAAAACTCTCTCTATAACCTTTAACTGGGCGAAACAGTTCTTCGTAGGGCAACAAGTTTCCAACCAAGGTACCTCAAACGGGCTAACTTACAGAATGTATAGACCCATGACTCCTGTGGGAATGAAATTTTAGAAAGTTGTTGCCAATTCAGCGCCATTTTGCTGCTGCTGTTCAGCGCTGCTGCTGCTGCTGCGCTGCCGCACTCAGCCACAGTCACATGATCCACATTTCCAATGTTCCCTGACAGCTTCTCACAAGTCAATGAGGAAGCCGGAAGGAACTGATATTGATTGCCAACGATCCTTGCCACCTTACGACTAGCAAAATCTTTACTTGTGGGAAGCTTGCAGGAAGAAAGTCAATGGAGAACCTGGCAGGGAAGGTCACAAATTGCTCGAGTAAGTCTCCCCAAACCATGCACTCTCTGCCAGTCCCTTTGCGTTTTCACCGCACCGGTCACCGTGGTCACGTGATCCTCTTTTTAAACTGTCTCTGACAGCTTCCCACAATTCAATGTGTCCCGCACTCATGCACTCTCCACCAGTCCCTCTGTGCTCCTGCCGCGCCAGCCACTTGCGCACTCTCTTGCTCTATTCTCCACCCAGCAGCAGCCACTTACTTGCCTACTGGCTTTGGACTTAAAACTTCCTGCCTGGGAAGCTTGCAGGGAGAAAGTCAATGGGGAACCTTGAAGGGAAGGTTGCAAGTTGCTCAGGTAAGCCTCTCCAACCCAAGCACTCTGCCAGTCCCTCTGCACTCTCACCATGTGCAGGTCAGCTGTGGTCATGTGATTCTCTTTTTAAACTGCTTCCCAGAAACTCAGTGAAGAAGCCAGTACGGAAGGAAGTGAGAGGAGGAGGGAGGGAGGGAGGAAGATTTCTGATGCAGCCTGCCAATCTCCCATAAGCAGAGCCAATGGGGGAGCTGGCAGCAAGTTGTAAGGCGGTCACACTCCCACTGGTTTTTTCACCTTGGTCATTCTGTTTCTCTGTTTAGGTAAGGAAATATCTCTGAAATGATGACCCAACGGGCCACGGGTTGTCTAGCAAACCTTAATTTCCAATCTCTTTGTCATTCTCCTTGGCCTCCTCTATACTTACTCATTTCAGCAATTGGCAAATACTTTTTTCATGCATTGTCATGCTTTAAAAACTGTATTTTTGTCATCAGTTTTAATGCTGTTCTGATATTTTATTGTGTGGTTTATTTTCTTTTACTTGGTTTATAAATTTAAATTTACATTTTTATAGGATATCAAACTGGCAGCTGATACAGGATGTTGCTATATTGAAGGAGGTTGGGTATCCATAACCATTTGTCCTCAGACACCTTACTTACCTTTAAGGGAATGGATGACAAAGACTTATTCCAATATTGTCATCACTGGACAATGTCATGCAGTTTAGATATGGTCTACTCTGCACAGATTTCTGACTC